AATGCCCTTGGCTGGCTAGCCAGTCCCGCTTCTGCCTCAGCTTTGTGCCTCACCGTCATTCTCGTCGACGACGATTCCCAGGCGTCCACCATAGAGGCAATGTCGATGACATCGGCCGCTTCATCGAGCATCAGCGTATCAGTGCAGAACTTCCTCATGCCTGCCCTATCATCTGCTACTGTGCTCAAGCGGCTGATGGTTCTCACCCTCGCTATGGCCAGCTTCGCCTGCACCGTCTCGTTCACCTCCTTGATCTGCAAGAGCCCGTGCCGGTCGGCGTCCAGCAGCGAGATCGCATTGGCTCTCCTGGCAGGCGTATCATGCCCGATGTCCAATGCCGGCGCCGCGCCCGCCATGTGCCCTCGCGAGGGATGAGTCCGTCGCCCCCGCGAGCTTGGAACGCGCCAAGCAGTGCGCCCTCCCTCTTGGCTGGAGCCCCGTCACATACGCACATGCCTGACAGGGCTTTTCTCTACATGCTCAATCTTGCACATCGAACTGCAAATCACTCGAACACGAACGAACGATGCATCCGAATTTGTGGCCCATCGAACCTGTCGCGCTCACTCACCTTCTCACCTGTGCATGGCCTTCTCGCAACTGCCAACGCCACACGCCTACCCTTGCGCAGCCTTGTCCCCTTTTCAGCATGAGCTCTGGTTCTGGCCTCACGCCGACGGCTCCGCCTCCGACTCCATTGAATCGGATGATGTTACTTCCCCAGAGCTCTCATCTTCCTCTGGAGAACCTCCTGCCAGGGCACCATCTTTGCCGAAGCAGTTCTTACAAGCCCTATGGTACTCACTTGCATCGGGAGGTTCATCTCCCAGGATCTCGAATTGCGAGTAATGCACACCAGGCTGCCTATGACATTCTCCCACGCGGTGCAATGTTCGCGTACGGGAGCGACCTACAATCGAAACTACGTACGTGCCAGCGATCTGTTCCGCCCGCACGATCTCAGCTGGCTGCATCTGCATTTCCTCGCCCTCGGACTCGAAGCCACCGTCGCCGGTGTCATTCACCATATCCTTCACATCGTCGTCCTCCTCCGGCTCGACCAGAACCACTGGGCCGGTGGGCGTCCACTTCGGGCGCCAGCTGGGCTCGAATGCCAGCTCCTCCGGCTGAAAGGTCTCCAGCAGCCTTGCCTGCACTTCCATGGCCTCGTCCGGATAGCCCAACAAGCCCATCTTGATGCTCACAGCCTCCAGGACCGCGCCCTCATCCATGGGGTCCCCCCTGCCCTGGTTGTCTCTCAGGAAGGATGCAATGACCCTCTGTGCACGTAGGATGTTGGCACGGGTTGTCCGTTCATATCCTTCATCAACGGCCGGGCGCCATCTGCCCATTTGCCGTCTGATGTCCGGTGGTATCCTGGATGCCGACGCCCATGACCGCAAGGTAGCGCGCTCGCTATGTTCGGTCCACAATGTGCCGACCCCTGCAAACAAGAGCGAAGCTCTCTGCCCCTGATCCATCACCCACAGCTCGCCAAACAATGCTTGTGACATTGCAGATGCCGTCGAATAGTCGGCCATCCTGCGAGCGAACCCTGTCTTGTTCAGCGTCGGCCATGGCAGCATAAAGTCCCGGGTCAACAGACCTGCTTCCATGCTCATATGATTCCAGATCTTCCATCCCACTTCCAGCCACTTGGGATGGCTGACCCATGCCTCCTTGCTCACGTAGAACGGGAGCAGCAGGATCCTCTTCCCTGGACCTGAGGTCTTCGACTTGTGGATAATGCCGACCAGGTGATTCTCTCTCAGCTCAATGCTCCTGTTCGGCGTGCCCTTAGTGTCGTCGAAGCGAAGGCCGGTCCACAGCTTCACCAGGCGAAACCAGGCGTATGCCCTTGGGAAGGGCAACCGATCATCGTCCATCACCATGGCCTCCATCGCTATGACTATAGCCAGTGGCAGCATCAACGCCTGCCTCGCCGGCTTCAACTCCACCGATGCCAGCCTTACCTGCGCCTCCTCCAGGGCATTCCTCACCGCCGAAGACTTGTGGATGAACTCGGTCTCATTCACCTCCCCGGCGAACTCCATGAACATCAAAGTCTTGTAAGCAGCCTCTGGAGCCGACTTAGCGCAAGGCTCTTGCACGATCGCCTCCAGGTAATCCGCAAACTCCGAAGGTGTCGACGGCCACGGTTTTCCAAACGTAGCCTCAAGCCACTGTCCGACCTTGTGCCACGTTTTGACGTGCTTTCTCAAGGTGTTCGGACGTCTGCCCTTGGCGATCCGCATCATCAGGGAATCTTCCGATGACCTGTGCGTGGCCTTCTTCATCAAAACACGCAGCTCTCCTAGCCATCGTTCCCTCTCGGATCTCTCGGCCTGCTCTCGCAATGCCAAGTCCGAGCCTGCCAAATGCAGCTTCTTCCCCAGGCGAGTCGGCCACTTGAAGATCTTCGCCTGGCCCACCATCTTGATGCGCTCTGCAATCTCCTGACCTTCGAGCCCCTCCAGGACCTTCCTCCTCTTTTGCCTCTGATGCTCCAGATGAGCTTCAAGTAGATCTTGAGATCCGCGTCCAGCATCGGCTCTATGGATGTTCGCGGACCTGTTGTCACACTGCGTGACCAGATCTCTAAGCCCGGAGGTGTCCTGGCCGAAGGTCTCCTTCTTCTTCCTGGCAGAGACTAGGATGCAGTCTAGGATCTTCTCTTCGCATCCTTTCAACGTGGCCAGCTTCGTGGTCGACCACCCCATCTCTGCCAGGATGTTCAGGTCGGGGTCCGTCCACCCCGCCAACGATCCACACAGGAACAAATCCTGTGTGGAGAGGTCCATCGCGGCAACGCTGGATCCCCCCTGAGCCGCAAAGGGGGTCTCGAACCGCGACACCTGCGCGGATCGATTCGTGACAGTCCCCATGTTTCACATGAGTTATCATGTATATTTGTGGCAAGTCGTTGGTGGTACAGTGGACCGTTAAAGTTGGAGTACTACCAGGTGACTCACCAAAAGCGTTGGCGAGACTTTAGACATACTCGAAAAGCTTTACAGGTCTACAAATTCTGTTTATTTTGTTTGGCCCCAACCTTGGAAAGGGGATTAGCATGGATTAGCTCTTGGCATTTTGAGCTAAACAAAAAGTTAGTGTTGCACCTGGCATTGCTTCAACCATTCTTCGCGAGTATTCGTGGACACGAGAGGCTCAAGCGCCTGTCGCAACATGAGTGCTTTCACCTACAGTTGGAAGCATTACAAGCATAATTATCGGTGCGGCCTCCAGCGCATGCTCGGTGTCCGCCCAAAGAGCAACTGTGGGTTGCAGTACCTGTGCATAAAGGCACTTGCCTAGCTTGTCCCCTTTCCATTTATTCCATTTTGCTGGGTTATGGGTTGACTCTTTGAGCACTCCCGAACATCTGTTTGGCTCTTACAAATCCGAAATCGCTTCGTTGTTGTGATTCTAGATAGATTACCAAACAGAAGGGTGGGCGATACGGTTCTTTGCCTCTCATGTTTCAGGAGGTTTGGTCCCCTGGAAGGTGAGAACGATACAATGATTTGGGTCCACAGTCCACGATGAGGCACTTTGCCAAAGGTAGACTTGTCGATGTTGATGTGTATGATCCCGCCAGAGCCATCCTTCTCCGCAGCCCGTGCCTGTCAAAATGCGCAAGAAAATAGACTGGTTAGAGGTGCCCAAACCGAAACGTCCGCCTTCGGCGCATATTTCGCAACAATTCCAGTCGTTCGATCATCAAAGCGGCTGCCTCACCCGGTGCTCTTATGCATTAAATTAGCACAGACAGCACACAGAACTGGCCTACTGCAATGATACAGTCGGCATTCTGGATGGCAAAGTTGGCATATGCAGCCCTGAGTCAGTCCAAAATGCAAAATGCCAGCAAAGCTTATGGCACTTCCACACAAAGGTTGTGGAGAGTAAGGCTGCCACCCATGCATTCCGAGCATGTGCATGGAAAGCGGGTCTTGCTCATCGAAAATACCCATACCATGGCACTGGCACAGGGACATGTTTGATTCAACACTAGTTTTGAAGCAAGCATTCATCAAACTGACTTGTTTCGCACAGGTGAAGCAAGCTGGGAGCGCAGTGGTGGTGACGGGAATGTTGGCTTTGTGAGCAATCTGACTCACAATCTCAGGACAGTGGCTTGCTCCTCGGCTCTCACTGTTTTGGAAACGGCAATACTAATGAACGATCTTCACGAGACGAGTAACAGACAAAGAAAGAGAGAGAGAGAGAGAGACACAGAGCAAAAGCAACTTGAATCGTTATGGGAAGCGCGTACCTTGTCCAACGTAAAGAATTGGTCGCTTTGACTTGTTAATGAGATCTGCAGCCTGAGCAAAGTTGACTTTTGTACCAAAGTGACTTGCACTGCCATCCAAGTGGGAGGTGTTTATTGACGGAATCACTCAACCTTTTTCTTGTGTCCACGATGTATGTATGTGTGTATGTATATATATGTATAGAGAAGCCGGCTTTGAGCTTGCTTCTCAGGCCTTCTGGACAGCCGTCATGTCCAGCATTGGCGGAGCATCTGCTGATGACACAGATGCCTTCTTGAAGATGGCTTCTGGCACTTTTGCAGACATAGAGACAATGTCCTGGATGGCGATATAGAACGATTTCGATTGCACATGAGTACCTATTTAGTCAAACGCCCCTAGAGTCCTTGGGCAAATCAATGTGGCAAGGGCCAGGACGACCAGATTTTGCAATTCTGAATGCCTGCCAACGCCAGGTCCATCCTGGACTTTTCCACAGAACTCGCAACAAGCAACAAAAGCCTCATTCACAGCCCAGGGAAGCTGGTTGAAGTCTAAGCAGACCTGATCCAAGAACAATACGAAACGTGTCCAGGATTTTCAGGACAATGCAAAATAGAGAGGCCAGCGCATAGTTCCACTTTGTGCATGAACGAGTGATTTCGGTCGCAGGACATTCCTCACAAAAGCATGTGACATTGTGGACACAGCAGCTAATGCTCCCTTCTTGAAACGAATGTTTCCGGTACTTGAAGCCGTATGCCGTGATCAACATGATGCAGCTTCCAGCGGCGCACTTTTTCACCGAAGCCTTCCTTCGAACTCAGCTACGGTCTAGGACGATACGCTGATAACCTGAAACACAGTCGCAGAGCGTTCGGGCATCACTGAAGCGCCGAGAAAAACTGAGGATCCGACGGCATCATCGGTGGCCCGCGCACTGGCACAGCTCCAACAGGCACTGGCCGTGAAGCAAAGAACCTTTGTGGCAGCGAAGCCAGTTGCATAGGAAGGGGCGCCTCCAGCAAGACACGGTCTGACCAAACATGCAAATCAGACTTCGACTTTGCCCTTGCAACCACACGACAAGGTTATCAAAAGGAAATTAGAACACCAGAATCTTCACTGTGCCAACCAGAATGAGATACTGTATATAGTCATAGTTATATAGACCTTATATATATATATACATATAATATACACACCTCCTCGACTCTTTACTTCTGCAAGCCTTCACCTATTCTTGCTGATTTGCAAGGTACAAATCAAACAGTTTAGGATGCTGTAAACAAATCTATGGCGCGCGTCGAAGGGCCTGCGCAAGAGGTACCTCACTTGGCCTGATGCACCGGAAATAGGTGGGGTATTGGTCCGGTGCACTTTGCCTCTCAAAGAACTGGATTGAAGTGAGCCGTGCCTGGAACTGCTCTGGGCGTGCACATGCGGTGGAGTTGTCACATCTGACAAGCTCGAACACGCTTTCTGCAGCCAATCAAGCGCACCCCGTGCCATGATGCTAGACTCACATTATGTGTCCCTTACAACCCACTAAACGCTGAAATGGAGCAGCAGAAGCTCCAGATTTCCAACCGAACGAATTAAGCCTTTCGGTACCTCATTGCTATTGAACTGTTGTCTCAGTATGAAATGCTCGGATCAGTAAACCTCATTTTCTGAAGCAAGCAAACTCACATTCTGAGCCTGCATGCGTGTCTGGCGCTTGGGTGTTCTCCTTGTAGGCAACCGCTTGGAGGTGTTGATCGTCAATACATTCTCTGTGCGATGTGGGAGAAACTGCTCCACCCTAATCGAAGCTGATCTAAGCTTTAAACTCATTGCCTTTGGATAATGCCTATTTATTGTTCTGGAAATTAAAAAGCGGGAGCGTGCACCGAGCACAAGAGCCGCATCCGTACTTGGCAAGCTACCACATGTTCGTTATACTCTTTCTCTCTGCCTCTCTCTCCTTCTGATCCAGCACGCAGAAAGCCAAGCACATCAACATGAGGAGGACTAAGGAAACCAGAATTCCATATGGCACAATCCTGGCAAACATTGAACACAAGAGGGCAACACATCCATTACAAGCAAATCTCATGGGTAGGGTGAAGCGCAGCAACCAAACGCTACACAAGTACTCTCTTGCCTCCAATTTGCGTAAGACCCCAATGGATCAGGCTTCTCCTGGCCTTATAATGATGCGATCTGTGCAGTCAGGGGCTCAAGGTTGTGGAATCCAAGGAAATTGCAGAATTGAATTTGCCAAAAGAAGAGAGTTTGTTACCAATGACTGCAACAATAATTGGTTGCGACGATGCCCATGAGTCTCAGGCGAAGAGCTGCCAAATCGGGTTGCTGGCTTCTTGGTGGACCTCAATCGGATAAGCATCGTCCGAATCAGAGGGTTTAAGAAATAATAGCGAGAGAGAGAGAGAGGGAGAGAGAGAGAGAGAATGATAACTTTTTGGAGCAACGGTGTTCCAAATATATTATTACACATCCATTACATACAGAATTCTATATATATATATATTATGGTCACAGCCGCACTGGTTACCTGGGTACAAAAGGCCTCTAGCCGCTCTAGCCTTTTACACCAGCGGAGGAGCGCGTTCACAAGAACATGTGGGAGAACATGATCAATCCGCGAGCAGCTGAGCAGCTCTACACATTCATTCATACATCTAGCACGCTCATCTAGCACGTTGACTCCATCACGCTGTAAGAAGTTCCCTTCTTGAGCACACACAGATCAAAGACTGTGTGGTCGATTATTCCAATTCGAAATCCTTTCAAGCCCGCCCGCACCAAAGGTGCTGAGGCGTTTAACTGCAAGTGGAAGAAAACATTGAAGAAACATATTGTTTTTATACATCAGGTATGTCTGACTGCATTTCTCATCATCACATCAGTTGCATCAGCAGATCCATGAAAAGGAAACAAACGACACCTCTCAGCAGTCTGTTCATGATTGCATCATGCGCATCAGCTGGCTGCAATTGTATAGTTTGTTATGGCGACATATGCACCTACTAGTTGCAAGTGCGTAGTTTCTTGTACAAAATGCCTGCGAAGTGAAATTTGGACACCCTGAAAAATGTACAATTTCAAGAGGGTCGACTCGGGTCGACAAACATGGGTGCAAAATTCAATATGGAGCGGTTATAGAAACTTCTTGGATTTTATTCATCACTTCATGCTGCGTTCATCTTGAAGCCTTGCCTCGATCATGCACACTGTACAGTTCATTGTGCACGATCGCTCTATTTTCCGACCCCCTTGAAAGTGTACATTTTTCGGGGGGTCCAACTCTTATAACTGCAACTGTAACTTGCTAGCATTGTTGGATGTAATTTGGACCCGCTGAAACATGTACAACTTCAAGGGAGTTGAAAAATATATACAACGATGCTTGCAAGTTGCAAGTAAGACACAGACACAGCTAAGCAAGTTGTATCCACTTCATGTTGCGCTCATCTCCAAGTGTTGTCTCGATCAAGCACATTGTATGGACTGGTTTATTGTACATGATCACTCTATTTGTCGACCCCCTTGAAAATGTACAAACCTCAAGGGTGTCAAAAAGTAGATCCAGCAATGCTTGCAAATTGCAAGTAAGAGGGTCCAAAAATAGAGTGATTATAGAGACTTAATTTTCCCTCTCTGTGAGAGCCACTGGTGAGGGCAGTTGTTGTCGCGAAGCGACCCGAATACATCTCTTAGTCTCAGGAGAATCTGAAGATACCACAATGACCTCCGCCTAAAGTATTACATTGCAAAGATGACAGTGTAGAGGATGTCTATATCTGGCAGCAAAGAACTACCAATGCTGCCGTGTCACAATAATGCTGGATAAATTCACCCGCCACAACACTCCTAGCATAGCTGCTGGTAGTGCTAGCCCCGCCCTCAAGGGTCAAGGGATATTGCACCGTGCTGTACCTGTGCGAACTGCACTCGTCAGATCTGCAGCACTCACAAGTCATAAATCTTTGGCTCGGTCCAATCGATGGGAGCACGTTGGGTCTTCAACTTGACAGCCATCTTGGCTGTACCTTTCTGCACACACTGTGTGCATGAGCTACAATGTGTCCAAATTGGAGACACTCTGACCACTGTATGAAAGCAGGAACAAGCAAAACAACAAACACAAAAAGCAGTTGCAATGCCTGCAGACTCATTTCATGCAAAACTCGGCTTCATGGGGCACTGCCAGTATTGGCACAGAATGTCGGAGTAGCAAACTTCCCTGAAAGCCGTACCAAACTTGAATCAACGCTTCAATTAACCTCAATCTGGCCTGCATCGCTTGATGTTGGCACTTTGGCCTTCATTGCTCAGCTTTCCAATGGGTCGGAGGTTGTGTACCTCGATGCCAGCCATTTGTTTGATGACCTCGGCCAACAAGGTATAAGGATTGTCTCAAAATCCATCCATTGGTTCACTAAGCATGCAGCCCTAACGCTACCGTGTTGAATGCGCTGCCTGCATCGAAAGGTACCGCAAACAAGAACGTCGACAGAACTATTGAGGCTCCTACCCACCCGAAAACTGCACCGCATCGTAGCCGTTGCGGGTCTCGCAGTGGTGGCCCTGGCAGCACCAACATCAACAAGAAGACACGTGAAGGATGCACGCCTGTCCCTGCCAACAACCACCTTTGATTTGTCCAGGGTTGAACTGCCACACCGGACACCTGCACATTCAAAGCAACAATGAAACTGACCACGCTGCGAATCTGGAAAGAGTTGGATCACTTCTATGATTCAAGTATACAACTTCAGTCTAGTCTAGTCTAACCGGTTCTTGGCAGGAACGCACGTGTTGATTTCTGAAGAGGCCTCATGCTCTAGCACAAACCCTTGCTCCTCAAATGCTTCGTTGAAGATTGAGCACAAATCCGTGCAGTTGGAGGTGTGAGGGTCGGATTCAGCAAACTGGGGTGTGCTAACCACGACCTTGTCAGGAGCAGACACGGGCCGATTTTCAGTTGGTACAGCTTGGTTGACTGTGTCAAGAAACCTTCTTCAGCAAACTCGTTCTTACTTGATATTAAAAAAATAAGTAATAAATATAACCATATAATAATACATGTTGTATAACCACTTATAGCCTTATCGTTTTTGATAACTCTTCGTCGTTTTACAATGTTTGGAAATCTTTATACAGTCTCTTTTCGTTTCCCAGCCAACCAGACATGTCCCTGCCTCAACTGCAAACAAGTCGGTCTCTGTTGTGTGTATATGTGTGCGTGCACTATTATGTGAGCAGTATATGAGTATGTGCATTGCTTGGGGTGAATTTGTCTTTCCAACGATTGCAGTGCTGCTGCTGTCAAGTCTTGACTGTATGAACTTCTCGGCGCATGGAACAAACCGAGCCAGCAATACTCTGGAGATGTTGAGGTCGCTCAGGCAGGAGATGTGCTTGGATGAATACAGGGGCTGACATTGAGCCATGCAGGCTGCGGTTGAGGTCGTTTACCTACCTGGCTCATCTCATCAAACAGACTGATGCCTCCACCTTGGGTGCTTCGATACCGCATCGCCAACGCATGTTCCTTTCCCTGCTGCCTGCTATCCCATGCTGGATGGACTTTGCACAAGCGCATCAAACTCTTGCCCAATTGCTTGCATGAAAGGTGTCTGATTGATGATACAGCAGCTGTGATTGTGGAAAGGGCCAAGAAGTTACTGTGTGTGGGAACCCAGACTCCTGGAAAACTGAAAGTTACAGCTGCAGAGTAGAAAATGCAGCTCTGACTCCGGAGTGCTGTCAGCTTTGCGAGTGCAGCGATCATGGATGGAAAGGATGCCTTCAGTATGGATGTCAAGTGTGCGCACGCAACCGGCACATCCAGTTGAAGTTGTTGGTAGGTTTGACGAGAGGAGGTCTTTGAGCTTCACTTAGGGCAATGAATCCTCGATCAGTAACGTGCACACCTTGGAGATGAGAATCGGTCGGCCATTGCAAATGTTGTCAGGCCTGGAATTCGCAGGGAATTGCCTGTTTGGTCTTCCTGAAAAATGCCAAGAAGGCTCAGAACTACCAGGCCTCCTTCCTAGTTTGGAAAGCTTGGCCAAACAAATGTTGTGGCAACAAATGAGTGTCACAGCAGAAAGGAGCATCTGCTTGTTCATCACAATAACTACAATATTGATGTCTGCCCTCCTTGCAGAATGCTCAGAATCTATTGAACATGCATACAAAGTAGGGCAGCGTGGGTGGGGCAAATACAGTGTCACCGCAGCAGAAAGCCCTTTTTGGCGCCTACATTGTCATGGCTACTATGAATCCATTGTTGTAATACAGTACCATTAAACAAAAGCAATGCTTCACCTTCAGTTTGTTTGTACGCTATCTACAAGCCCCGCCCTCGCACAAGAAGCTTGAAGGTTTCTAAATGGGCTGGTCAGCTTGGGAAATTACAAAGCAGTCACAACACCATATCAGAGAAAAAGACGAGCTCAGTTGGCGCCTGGGCTGGTTTAGACAGGAGACGCGGCACTTCTCCATTGTTGGAGCTTGTACTAGCATAAGGCCAACACACCTCATTTGCGCCGTGCCGAATGAGTGCTCTTTCAGTAAGCTCGAAAGCCACTTGCATATCTGGGACTCAAGCTGCCCTGGCCAACCGTCATGAATATCTTTCAAAACCTTGCCATGAAGCTTACTACACCGTGTCATCTCGAACAAGGGGAACCATGCCAGGGGCTACTCTGGATTCCCAGCACATGGCAATCTCTCCGTTCTTCTCCTCAGTCGAAGGCAGCCAAGGATACTCAACATGTCCTTTTCAGCTTGGCAGTTGGGTTACCCTTCTCGGCATCGAGCAGGCCAAGCTGACAGCCTTGCTGGTTGGCGACCTGCCGGCCATGCCTGGTGCCATACCGCATTGGTGTGCTTCGAACACTTGGAGTGCTTCGCATATCGTAACAAATAGCAGGACATCAGGACCTGCATCTTGTGAGCAAACCTTATTTCTGTGGTGCTAGATTACCTGCATTTGGAATTTCATTAGCTTTGAGAGACCAGGAACAGGCTGCCAGGAAACCAGCCTTGTGGCTGTCCTGGGAGTGAGTCGGTGCTGTTCACAAAAGACATTTTCACAGAATCAACCAATGTCCTCAGATGTGGTCGCCGGCCATGTCTGGTCAGGCACGTTGCGAGGGTCCACCAAGGCATTGAAGCTTTGACCGTTGAGGCCTCCAAGTTCAAGAGCGAGGGGAAAATACAAAGTTGAAGGAGAACAGGAGGGAGATAGTGGATCAGTTGGTCAGCCAGCTAGTTATACAATTGGTCAAATTCATAGATATCATAGATAAAGAGATAAATATAATGATAAAGTGATGTGGACATAGAATGAGTCCCGAGCTAATCACCTCTTCTTTTCTTTCATCTGCATCTATCGCACCTGCGTCTAGAAACCTACAGCAAACCACTTCAGGATTCACATTTTGCATCGGATCATCGGAGTTGATCGGCTCGCTGGGGTCCAAATAGAAGGTGAACCGTAGCTGTGGATCCACAGTGAAGTAGACATCCTCCAGCATGGCTGAGGCAAAGTAATAGCCTGAAATACATTGAAGCCATTTCTCACGACCTCAAAGTTTAACAGATTCAGATGATTCGAATAGTTGTTCAGATTAGGAGGAAGCTCAAAGTGTCGTCACACATTGCCAGGTTGGATTTGGATTGAAATTACAGATCCTGGAAAATAAACAATTCTAGGCAGTCTTGCCATTTGCATATCTCTTCGCATCTGCGAAAGAAGCATCGTTGGTAGTTGATACGGACACCTTATTCATCACTGTTGTAATCACCTTTCTCAACTGCTTGATGATCCGATATGCCACAACCATAATAGCGTTGTTCTGGGAGCAGTTTTCTTGTATCAACCTGGCTACCTGGTCGGTTCACCCACTGATTGTTTCGGAATTGCTCCAAAACTTGATGCAAAGGTACAATAACGTAGAAAAGAATTTCTAAAAGAATTTCAATCAAGTGACTTCCTTCCTTGGCCCAAAGATCCTGCCGGGAAGTGAAATTCACAGCATCGCAAGTCATCAACTCCGCATCAGGACAACTCGCTGCAGCGGCCACCGGTGACAAACGATCAAAGATGGCTGTCACAACTGCGTCCACAATAACCTGATTCACAAATTTGGAGATGTGCAACGAAGTGCCGACCAAACCTGGAAAAATCACGCCAGTACAACAACCCCCCTTATGCACACCATCACACCAGCACCAAATCGCGCACTGCCATAGACATCTGGCAGCAACCCCGCAGCGGCACCCAAGCTCCAAACAAAACAAACATTTGGCCGGCACCCTGTAGCAGCACAAGCACACTCCACACCCTGACAGCTACACCCTGCAGCGGCACCAACACCCAAGCTCCAAAGCGCACACTGTCATGGACATCTGAATCTGGCAAGAACACCCTCAGCGGGAAACTCCAGCGGCACCAGCACCAAGCTCCAAAGCCACAGTCAACGGCACACTGCAGCGGAACCAACCCAAGCTCCAAAGCGCACTTGGGTCCCTGGGTCATGCACATCTGGCAGCGGCTCCATGTCTAGTGCCGTCGACACATCATCAAGCGTGGCTCAAGGGCAAATCCAGATGCAAGTGTTGCAGGACTTGGTGCGCAGCGGCCTGCAGCGACACCAACTCGCAGGCACCTAGACCTATACTTGAAGTAGAAAGAACCCCAATAGCTCTTGCTACCTTGGGGAACAATTGCATTCCAGACTCCAGATGTCTTGTCTGTCTTAGCTTCTATGGCCCAGGATGACCTGTTTGAAGTTGACCATACCCAAAGCGACATGTTTATGCACCCTGCTGCGGCAAGGTGCAGCGGAACCAGCACCTAAGCTCCAAAGCGCACACAGGCACCTCTTTCCTATACTTGAAGCAAGAACCCCAATCGCTGTCGCTATCTGGGGAATGATTACCAGCAATTCTCAGTGATACTTAGTGCCAGTGAGTCCCAGTGGCACGTTTCGAGGTTGCCTCGTTGATCCATTGACACACCTGGGCCTCTGTTTCCGCCGCATTCACTGCTGCAGGCTCACTGGAGCGAAGATCGCAACCAATTCGCAGCAGTGTGGCAGCCTTGACCTGGGAGCGGGATGGATCGATAGACGAATGGGTTCACTAGAATAATAAATTCTCATACAAGTCTATATAAGGAGTGGTCGATGGGATGGGATTGGATGTCTCCGAACTCATTCATGCACATGAGCATGAGTGGGAGATGCCAAGAGTTGCCGTCTTCCCTTGTGCTGGTTGAGAAGCCTTCTCTACAACGGCTTTCCTGATACTTAGTTTCCAGACTTACATCGGTCTCCACTTCACCCATTTCTCGTGGTAGAAGTGTGATGAGTGGGTCTGCTTTCATGCACCAAGAGACCGTCTTCATTTGCTTGGTCTGCTCAGTGCCAGCTGTGTCCGAGAGCTGCAGTCTCAAATGGAAAGGCAAACCTCGAGCTAAGATGCTGCTTTCTTTCAAAGTCACTTCGATAGCTCCATCCTCAGGGGCACCATTCGGCCCACCAAAAAGAAAGTTGGATGAAATCCATGGTCTAACAGAAACTGATGCTTCAACCCAATACTTTTCCCGCGCGATCAAGAAATTCAAGAAGCAACACCTGGACGTGACTGTTGGGGAAATACTGTGGCGCTGTAGTTCTTTGATGATCGGTGTCAAGGATGTCATGTCAAACTGCTGATCAGTAGCCAGACATAGTCGTTGAAGGATTTGGTGCATGCAAGTAGAGGTTGCATATCGTTTTTCCCCAACTCTAGCTCCTCTTGCAGCACTGGAGCCGACGCGTTGTAGGCTTCAAATTCGAAGACCTTCGGCAGCACTGCCGAAACCAAGCATGGCAGCAGTTGATATGCTCGCCCCAGCCATCCCAGCGCCACCAAGTTTTGGAACTGGCGTCGCAAATCTGCTCTTAGCCTCGACTGGAGCTTAAGCACTTCGCAATTCTCACGAACCGCGAAAGCAAATGAGGATGAAGGTTTGGAGTTTGGAGGACCTTCTTACCAAAACAAAGAGCATTCCTACTAGGAGCAAGAATACTACTAGTGGCTCTTGGCATCGCTACTAGGAACCTGGGCATCGCTACTAGGAGCAAGGACGCTACTAGTAGAGTGAATCCGAAGGAATGCCAGAGCTCATTCCCTTATTCCCGGGTTCCTAGTAGCGATGCCAGGAGCCACTAGTAGCATTCTTGATCCTAGTAGCGATGCCCTTTGCCATTTCTTCAAACCGTTACAACAAGGATGCTGTTGGATCCTCCACTAGTCCAAACGGGGACACCGCTGCAATGATATGAGTGAGAGTGAATCTGATGAATTTGCAAAGGTTGGCTAGGTGAATTCTGCTTGTCGTGAGGTTGGAGCTAAAGGTCAACAGGGTGGCATTTCAGAGTCGCCATTTGATGTTGGTAGAGAGCCATGGCATGGCTTGACTTAGCCATATGCCACGGCTGTGGCTTGAAACAGTGGATCCAGACAGTTTGCTGATTTGAGCTGATGGAAGCCTCAAGGGCAGTCTGCCAAAAGGATGAGTAAAACAAAGCCGAACGGCGACACTGTCAATATGGTGTTTCATGATGGCACAAATAAGAATAAGTCCACTCCCGTTGGATTTGTGGCCAACTGCCATGGTGCATTTCAGGCATGCTTGACGCAAAGCATCTTGGTCCAGCAAGGCTGTAGGGCTTCAAAACAAATAGCAAGGCTGCAAGCACTGCGAGCGCACTGTAACGCCATTGGCGCCGTGGTGCGACTCGTGGCATGGTCAAATCATGGTGGCTTGTGAAGAATGAAAAGCTCTTTTGAGTTGGAGATGATGCTGTGCAACCATAAGTTATTTGAAGGAAATGGGAACCCCACTGACAACAAAAGCACTTTCGTGCACGCTTGTAATGTATGCTTATAGTTTCATTGTACATGTTTAGCATCATTGACATTATAGTACAAAGCAATTGTCTTACAACACATAAACACAATTGTCGTTCTAAGTCGATGCTGGTGATGCGGACAATTTATTCGCATAACCCTCATAACAAAAGTTATGTTAAATGTGTAATTTAACACATTGAAAAAGAATCCACAATATCAAGAACCCTGCCTTCTTCAGTCTTCCAAGCAGTAGATATGTGCCTCGATTGCCACACAACAGCCCACTGCAGCTTGAAGCGTCGACTCTAGGCCCTTACCCTTGGAGCACAGAAAGTGCGAGCGCTGGTCTCATGCAGCAGCCATTTAGAGTCCAGATGCAGCGTCTTGGAAGAAGAAATCAACAACAACGCTCAAATTAGTGAAAGAAACTGCCTGGAATTTCACTTGCAAAAGCCCTTGAGCCAGTGTGGCTACATCGTGGAATGCTTGTTCTGCTCCTGCCTGAACAATGCCCAGCTTATGCATCCGCTCAGCGAGCCAAGCAAGCACTCAAACGAGTCCTGGAAGGCATCAGTTCCCATGGCACCAGTGGGAACTTGCCCAGAGAAGACCACCATCGGCACGCCATCAGTCAAAGCATCCTGACAAAAAGCGAATCTTTGAACATTCCACAATGTCTGATTGTCATGGTGTCAGCTTGCGGTTTGAAGAAGCCGTTGAACTACAGTCGCTATTGGCTAAGACTGAGCCCTTCAGAACCATACCTGCATTGGAGTCACCATGTTGGTCAAGCCAGGACCGCTGGTGACAATGGCCTTAGAGGCTGTGGCAATCAAACGATGAAAACAAGGATATGATATCTTCCTGAACTTTCTTGGGGAGCCACAACGCCAAACTTTCCCGTGGACTTCGCATATGCAGCTGCCGAATGACCACTGCACCTGACGATGAAGGTGCATTAATGCCAACTCCAAAATGATCACAAGTGCCGGTGCTGGGCTGCAAACTGCTCATGCGCGGATGTTATCCACTTGATGTTCTTGCCGTGGAAGGCATCGATGAGCGGCAATACTGCACCTTGCAGAAATCATGTTGATCCAACTTTGAACTTTCGGCCTGGTCCTGCTCACGATCAAGCTCTTTGAATTCCATTTCATGTTTGCATCTCTTTTTGATGTAGCCATCAGCTTTCCGATTGTAGCAACTGGCTTTGTTGAAAAGGGGCACTGTGAAGAAGCTGCTGGGTGCTGTGATGCACAAAGGCATGAAGAATTAGTAAGGGCTCAAGCCGCACAGTGCGAGAAGTAAAATTGTATGGCCAAGGCCAAAGCCATAACACTGCCGCGACTCAGATCAGCACAGCCAACGACCACAGCAAGGTCAGCACAAAAGGCACCCGAGCTTGCAAGCACCCAAAAGCAAATTATAAACTTATCATAAAACCATGAACTCCTGTCCAAAGGGCACAAAGGGCTCCCCGCGGGTGGATGTGCATTTTATGATCCCAGTTTCAGATGCGGCCGTGCAAAGTCTGGGGGGTTAACGGCCCTTCTGCAAGGATGCTCCTTCACATTCATGCGCAGTGTCTGGCCAAACCTGGTTGCCGCAGCAAGCCCCGAACTTCTCCCAAGCCCAAGCACAAACGGCATTCTCCTGCATTCTCCTCAACAGCTTTCAACAAACGCCTGTGAGCAACTCTGTCATGGCAAGTTTGCGGTATCGAGAGCTGACTGTGCCACTACTCACTTACATAAGCTTTTGTCATGAGGAGCAAACTCCTGCATATCATTCGTGCACGCCACTACAGCAGCGATTCATGTGTGTCATAGTCGTGTGTATGCCGCAACTCATTGTGTGTACTTCCATCAGTATGGCGCAATTCTATTTAAGCAACTTTGAACAAAGAAAGCCGCCATCTTTGCAAGTTCCTGGGGCCCTTGCCACCACTGTATCCAAAAACAGTATCGACACCATGCTCAATGAGCATGTTGAAAATGACCTGCAGCTTCATTCTTCGATTCGCAACCCAAGAGAACATGGTCTGAGCGAACATGTTCGCCTCTCCACCCGTCAGCTCTCGGAGTGCGGCCACCTGCAGCTGCTTTACGGAAAAAAGGACTCACCATGACGGCCACCTGCCTGGGAACTGAAGCTTTTTCTTCCCCATGACCTCCCATTTACATCGCTTCGATACGGCTGTTCATTGATCCTTTTTGGAAAATCTCCAAATCTATTATCGTTTCTGGTTTTACGTATTGCATGAATGACGTCAACTTCCCAGATTACAGTTTCAGGTGCTTCCCACACCTGCCATACAACGCATACACCTCGAAAGCAACTGCTAAGAATTGCATCTTCCAATTCTACAATGGATGTTCTGCAAAAAGTGCTAGGATGTTCTGCAGGCTGAGAACCCAGCATGACACCTATTCGCCGATCGCAGCTTCAACATACTTCTGGTGACCTGCACTTGTCCAGTCGCTGAATGACTCGTCTTGCAAGCACGCACGAAAGTGGGCAGTTGGATCAGCCCACGCCTGCCCATGGCCACACAAGGCTCGTATAGCCTTCATAGGCTTTGTCTGCCACCTAGGCACAAGCAAAGAAAGGCAAGCTAGAGTCCTTGAGTCTTCACATTTATTCCACACTGCCTCAATGAGCAAAGGACCTCCAGCCCACTGAGCCAATACGGCAGCGAGGTGGTTTACATTAAGTTGCCAAAACCAAATTGAGCCAAGAGTGGTGAGGAGCAAACATAAGAGTTCCGTTGCACCTGGATGGGTCATTCGCACGTCAAGGCCAAGTATGACAATGCATTCTTGTTCCTAGTAGCGATGCCAGGAGAACCTAGTAGCTTCTTGTTCCTAGTAGTAAGGCCAGGAGCCCCTAACCGCTTCATTGTCCTAGTCGCGATAAGTCTGGAAGCTTGCTTCGTTGCTTGAAACACGTTCAGCTTCAAATCAGCTTCAACATGAGCATGCACGCACGTACCGCACGTACGCAGGCCTTTTTCTACAGCGTCTCCCAGAAATTTGAGAGTCTCTTCACATTACACGGCTTTGCCAGACTGCAAGCTCGCGCTATTCTGGTTTGAGTCGATCAACGAAGTCCTAACAGGATCAGCTTTCTCACATGTTTTTTGATGTCAACCACAAACATCGACTTGAATCTCCTTCAAACTTTTTTTGTAAATGTGCAGTCCTTCTTCTCCAGGCAGCCACGTCCTGTTTTTCCAAACTTGATGAGGAGTTGCTTCAGAGCTGAGACCTGTTCACGCCAGACATGTCGCAATTGCAGACACTTGTAGCATCAGGTCACTGCTCTGCATGCGTAACTGCAAGAATGGAGGTGAGGTGTTGTTGTTAGCAGTCCAAAGATCCATCAATTGTTGCATCATCGAGAATCACCGAGACAACGGCAGAAAGCTTCATGAGTTCTTCCCTGGATTCTTCAGGCTCCTTGCAGGAGCCCTTAGTAGCATTCTTGTTCCTAATAGCTTGTAGTAGTTGTTTTGGGACATTTTGTTGCCGAGGTATCAATCGATATGATTGAATGCAGTCCTTTGCGCCCAAATCCTGCTTCAAAGCCTGTGTCGGGTCTGGTCCTGAGACAACCTGCCATCAAAGTAAATGTCAAGCCATGCAGAACCCCATGCAGAGGGCTAGCAAATCGCGCTGACTCGGAACTTTAGCAGCAACTCCGAGAGACTTATCACTTTAACTTGTCAGATCCACCCATCCGCAGCGCTTTCCCTGTCACAAATGCACGCTGTTGACATGGCTGCGGAAGACAAGAAACTCAGAAGCCCTCTGTTTAACAGTGTGTGATGTTTGTGAAGCGCACTTGTTATTACTTAGAGTCTCCAGTATACTGCTGCAGCAAAAGGCTGCTCTCGATTTCTCCACCTCTGCTTTGTTTGCTTCAACTCGAGCAGATATCGCATCGATTTTCTCTTTCCGCCACCGCCTGAGACTGGAGAGTAAGAAGAGAAAGAGGAAAAACATGAAGGGGCCTTATTAAAGGCCCGGCATTCTTATGACTCCGGGACACAAATTGGAAATCCGCCCGCGCCGAAGGTGCTCAGGGCGTGATCATCCGGATGGCATAAACAACTGTAAGGTACAGGATTACCTGAGGGGAGGGGCTATTTTTTGGCCAAAACCATGGGTTTTTGATAGGTCACGACGGCGGACTTCAAAAGACACTGTTTTTTACAGCACGGAATGGACTAGTTCGTGCACGCGCCTGCCCGGAACCGGCAAGAGAAATGTGAAAAATTATGTTATTTTTTAAAACTTTTGGTTTTTGATTTTCGGTTTTGAGACGCGTATTTTTTCCATGTGTCTTGTCGGGAGGGCGGGGGGGCAGATTTTGTGATTTCGGAGCTGTTTGGGTGACCGCTTTCGCCGTTTTTGTTGCGCAGAAACATTGGTTTTTGCAGCGTTTTTGTACATTGCCGGGGCTTGAGTTCTTTGCGCAAAAATGTAAGAAACCTCGCAAATAGCAGTGCTTTTGGCGACCATGTTGTTGAAAACGTCGCAAATTGCGGTGTTTTTGGACAGCAGGTTCAAAAACATTGTAAATAGCGGTGTTTTGGGCCACGGCAAGCTCAAAAACATCGCTATTTGCAGTGGTGTCTGCCTCACAGAGCATAAAAACACTGTAAAATGCGGTACGTAGTGTCGTTTTTGGCAAGGGCAACCTCAAAGGTGAACCTCGCTATTCGCCGTTTTGTTGGGCAACTTTTCATGGTGGTGCAGGCAGACCTTGCCGCGGAGCGGCGTGAATATACCTGATCAATCAGAAAAACATTTCAATTACATATTTGGGAGATGCAGTGAGAGATGTTGTGACACGGCCGCAATATGATCGAATGTCCCTTGCGAAGCCCGAGAAAAGCAACCACTGCAACCACAGATTCTCAGTGCTGGACTCTCGTGATCTACTTCTGCCTCGTTCCTCCGCCTGCAGACTTAGATCAAAGCAAGAAAGCAAACGCAGGTAGCCAAGCCTCCTCCTCTTTCTTGCCCAGGAGTGCCGGATCTATACAAACAGTCCTGGCAACGAGCTCAACTCCACATATATACAGTATAATACCGTGTGTATATATATCCAGACGGGTTTGCTTAGGACTGTGAGTGTTTTAACCTCCTCACATGTACATTCATACGTTATTCGCGTGTTTTTTGAGCATCCGTTTTCGGAATTTAGCGCGGTATTTACGCGTATTTACCGCGCATGTTTTCGTCGGTCGATGTAAAACACACTGTAATTACGACTTCAGAACTGCTCCATGATTCCAAGGGTTTTGGTCGGATGGCACGTTAACGTTCTGCTCAACTTGCACACCCATACAGAAGAAACCATGTTGCTACACAATGCGAGTCACTGACAGTGGGGCGGGGGCGGGGTGGGGTGGGGAGGGGTTCGGGGTGGGGTGGGATGCTAACGTTCGGTTCAAGTTACACATTCATATATTCAATGTGGTTGGGTGCCACTAACAGTGAGCACAATTGATGAGCTCAAAACCAGCACCAGGAAAATTGAAAAAAAAACGTCTGGGTCCAATCAGATCTCCCACGCACGTGGGGCTGGTCCCTGGCTGGCCTGGGCTGGTGGCCCTGCTTTGATTTTGAAATGTGGGGCTGGTCCCTGGCCGGCCTGGGCTGGTGGCTCTGCTTTCATTTTGAAATGTGGGGCTGGTTGCTGGGCTGGTGGCTCTGGTTCAAATCTGGTGCTAGGATTCGTCAAATCTGGTGCTTGATTTCGCCAAATCTGGTGCTCGATTTCGTCAAATCTGGTGCTAGAATTGTTCAAATCTGGTGTTCGATTTCGCAAAACCCGGTGGTCTGGTGCTGATTTTCTGGAAATTCTGCCCAAGGCGGAGACACAATCCAACTCAAACTCAAGAATCACTTTCTGGCTGGTGCTCGAATTCGTCAAATCTGGTGCTCGAATTCGTCGAATCTGGTGCTCAAATTCGTCAAATCTGGTGCTCGAATTCATCAAATCTGGCTCGAATTCGTTAAATCTGGTGCCCAATTTCGTCAAATCTGGTGCTAGAATTCGTCAAATCTGGCGCTCAGATTCGTCAAATCTGGTGCTCAATTTCGTCAAAATCTGGTGCTTCTCGTGGTGGTCCTTGGTGGTGCTCGATTTCGTCAAATCTGGCGCTAGAATTCATCAAATCTGGCGCTCGATTTCGCCAAATCTGGTGCTCAATTTCGTCACACCTGGTGCTTCTTGTGGTGGTCCTGGCGGTGCTCGATTTCGTCAAATCTGGTGCTAGATAGAATTCGTCAAGTCAAATCTGGCGCTCGATTTCGCAAAGCCCAGTGGTCGGGCTGGTGCTAGAGCGGGCAAAGCGGAGCAAAAATTGTGCTCTGGCTGGCGCTAGAATTCGTCAAATCTGGTGCTAGAATTCGTCAAATCTGGTGCTCGAATTCGGCAAATCTGGCGCTCGAATTCGTCAAATCTGGCTCGAATTCGTCAAATCTGGCGCTCGAATTCGTCAAGTCACCCCACCATGACCTTTGACAGTGGTGGACAAGCAAGACAAGCGTTCACCATCTCATATCATTTGCAAGGCACACACACATACACGCCTTACGGAAGGGCACTGGGTATGGGGCAGGGCCAGGCAGGGGATGGGTGAAGTGAGGTATGATTCTGATCATGGTGAGATCTAAAACTTTCAATCTGGGTCACGCTCAGCAATTCATTGACCAAAATGTCCCAAAACCAAGAGCCATTTCCAGCAATTCGCTGGCGCTCGTTTTCATGAACACGCTTCATAAAAACCCTATTGTTGAACTGTTACTGGGCCTAGCCACATTGAATTCATATAGGAGAAATTCTTCTACGTTGCCACACAATACTAGTACTTGCGCTGTGTTGCGCATGCACGTTTGCTTGCACACCTGCGTATGGAAACCATTCATATCTAACCTAAGTTAGATATCATCCTGCAGGACTAGCCCCACAATATTCCAATATCATTGAGGTGGTTCACCTGGGGTCCATGTAGGTCAATCTTCCACACATGGAGTGTCTGAGAGTCTGAGATCGGTGTCCGTTCTCCATGTCGCCCAAAAGAAACGCAGGACTTGGTGAACCTCGAAGTGCAGATTTCGTGGCAGGTCCAGCGCTTTGTGAACCTCGACGCGCAGATTTCGTGGCAGGCACAGCACTCTGTGACCCTCGATGTGCAGAGTGTGGCAGGCGCAGCGCTTTGTGAACCTTGGCGTGCAGATTTCGAGGCAGGCGCAGCGCTTGGTGAACCTCGAAGTGCAGAGTTCGTGGCAGGCGCAGCGCTTTGTGAACCTCGACGTGCAGATTTCGTGGCGGGTGCAGCGCTTGGTGACCCTCGAAGTGCAGATTTCGTGGCAGGCGCAGCGCTTTGTGAACCTCGAAGTGCAGATTTCGTGGCAGGCGCAGCGCGTTGTGCCCTCAGATGCTCACCTCTCGCTCTCACTCACACTCGCACTCACACTCACACACGCTCGCGCTCACACTCACACTCTCTCACTCACACTCACATTCACACTCACACTCACTCACTCACATTCACAATGTGCAATCCACACTCGCTCTCCCTCACACTCACAATGTGGCATCCACACTCACTCTCACTCTCACTCTCACTCGCACTTGCACTCACACTCACACTCACACTCACTCACTCTCCCACTCCCACACCAACTCTCACTCTCACCCACACTGACTCACACCCACCTTCACACTCACTCACTCTCCCACTCTCACTCTCACTCACTCTCCCACTCTCACTCTCACTCACACTCACTCTCACTCTCACTCACTCTCACTCTCACTCTCACTCTCACTCTCACTCTCACTCTCACACTCACTCTCACCCACACTCAATCTCGCTCACACTCACACTCACCCACACTCAATCTCGCTCACACTCACACTCACTCACTCACTCACTCACTCACTC